ATATACTCTGCACATAGCAGCCGAAGACCATGGCAGCCCTCCTCTGAGTTCTTTGTTGAAGCTGTCCGTGATTATTGAAGAGCAGAAGATGGCCCCCACTTTGGCTTTTGAAAATTTGGTGTATCAAGTGGAAATCAGTGAAGCTTCCTCACTAGGTGCCCAAATCCTTCAAGTTCAAGCTCACTCACTAGATCCACACCATGTCACTGCCAAGCTGACATATTCCCTAGAGTCTAGCACAGATTCTGCTGCTTTTGGTATCAGCTCTGATACTGGCTGGATTTATCTGCGAAAACACTTGAACTATGAATGTGCAGAGGTACTAAGTTTTAGAGCACTGGTCAGCACGTTAGAGGACAAAAGTTCCAGGCAAAATGCAAGTGCTTCAGTAATAGTTAATGTCCTGGATGAAAATGATAATTCCCCCATGTTTAGACGTGAGAGCTACTTCTTTGAAATGGAGGAAAATCCAGTTCCCAGGGGTGTGGTTGGCACCGTGACAGCTGTTGACAAAGACTCAGGAAGAAATGGACAGCTTTCCTATTTCCTCTTGTCTGATGGAAAATATTTCAAGATGAATTCCAACACAGGTAGCCTTCTGTGATTTGTATTCTGCCTAATAGAGCTTTTGGAAAGCAGTTTTCCTCTAAGGGAATAGAAGTAATGCGTTAAGTTCAGGAACTGCTGTGAATCTCTTGGGTTGGTATATGAATATTCTAACTCAAAGCTTCATAACTTTGGGGATGAAATAAACCTAATGCATGTTCATGAAGAATAAACTAACCCTTAGGATTTGATTTTTTAGCACTTTATTCTGGTCACTTGCTTCTAAGTTTAAGTGTTTGAATGTAGCAAATGGAAAGGAGGAGTTTTAAGTAATAGTTTCAATAGATCAGAGGAAGAACTTCTAGTTGCCTGTGATCAAGTAAAGCTGAAAAGTACAGATCAGCCATAAACAACTATAAAGATAACTATGATATTTGAAAGTTAGTGTTTTAAAACATGCTTGTGAAAGCTTCTAAGTTGCATCGAAACTGAGCGCATGTTGTTCATGGCACCACAAAGGAAACTGACTGAGACAAATTCTTCACTGTACAAAGTGTACTCCACAGTGAATCCCAAATGCCTTGAGTAATAGACTTTTTGTCCGCCCAGTATAACAATACAGAATACAACATGGGAAGTCGAGTGGAAGGGTATTCCTATAAGGAACACAGGCACTGTAAATAATCCAGTTTAGCAAAAGAACATCTAAGCAGCACAGATTTGCTATTTTAAACTCCGCTTCCCAGATGTCCTGTCCTCACTGAGGGTGAGGAGGCTCTTCTAGAATTTCTCTGTTTGAATCTCAAAATAAAACTGTCATTTCAAAGCAGGTTCTTGTTGAGTAGCTTTATAAAAGTTTAAAGGCAGACAATACAAAGAATTAACCAAGATTATCTTAAAATGGTACAAGGTTATCTATGTGAAGGACTGGTGAACTGCAAATCTTCAGATATATTGAGTTCGGTTGAGCAGATGGAGAGAAGATTGGGTCAGATTTATTCACTGGGTTTACCAAATTGTGTAGTAAACATGAGGCTTCCTGATTATCATACAGGCGTATTGAGAATTTCCTAACCCAAGGGCATACTAAAAGCCATATGTGAGCAATTAAAAGTCTGTGCTCATATATTATCTATCCTGAAATATGGTGAAGAAAAGGCCAGATGGATTTCTTCGGAAGGTCAGGATGTTGGTTTATACTGTTTTATACCTTTGCTCTGGGGCATCCGAAGTGCAGTAAAGAATGTAATATAATACTAATGTACAAATGCAAACTTTTATTCACAAAACGTTTCTGTGGAACGGAGTTTGGTAAACTGGGATTTTAGTGTAAGAAGTAAGGTTTATCAAAAGACAGGTATTATTAGTTCATATTCAATTAAATATATAATTGCATACAGTAAGATTAATGCAAGCATATAGCAATATCTCACTCGTTTTCTCCTCCTTTTTCTTTGTCCATCAGGTGAAATTATAAACTGGGTTGCATTAGACCATGAAAAACAAACTCACCACCAGTTGACTGTACTAGTGACTGATCATGGGTCACCGCGGCTTAATGCCACAACAACTGTGTATATCTCAGTCACTGACATCAATGATAATAAGCCTATCTTCCCACAGATTCCATCCGGAAAAGAACTAAACGTCAAGGTTTGTGCTAGCTGTTTCAGTAACCTTCCGGTTTGGTCTAGTTATGCTGTCTTTCAAGACTTGTTCTGAGCACCACCTTGTGGCAAAAGCTCCAACTGTAAAGCAGATTTCTATCTATATAACACAGTGGTGTTTACTGGAATGCATGTAATCTGACTGTTACTTGAACATTATTAAAGGAAGCAGATGATAACAATAAGAATTGTTACTAAGATTCAGTTACGAACCTAAAGGGTTTTGACTGGTGTGAAATAAATTATTTACAAATTATTTTTTAAGAAATATTATTTCTAAAGTATTTAAATTGCTGTTTTACTATAGAACTGACAAAATAGTAAAACAGTAAGAAGATAACACAAAAATAAAGAAGTAAGACATTTCTAAATTTAGAATCAGGTATATCTGAAACTTTCAAAATATGTAAAGTTGTTAGACTTCTCACAGACTGTTAATTTTAAAGAATATACATATAATTCTGTTTTACGTATGTAGTAGACTCTTAATTTCTGGCCTCTGAATCTACGGTGTTGATGATTTTTGAATTAGCATTGTATTCTGACCATGATGGGTTTTGCTAGAAAAGTATTAATTTGACCATTTTCTGAAATAGTTTGTTTGTATTACTTAGTGTGAACATTACTGAAATGGAAAACATAACTACTATTAAAGACTTGCTTTATGGGAAGTGAATTTGTTTTAAAGCTCCCTGATATTCTTTTATATTTGCAAATTATATATAAACTGCTTGATGACAGGTTTTGGAAGGGCAGCCGTCAGGGACACTCATCACCACTATCTTTGCAAAAGACTTTGATTCTGGGAGCAACGGTGTAGCGTTGTATTCGATAGAATCAGGTAAGAATTTAAAGTGTTATTCATAAGAAAAAAAACCCCACATTGAAATAATTAGTTTTAGAGGTGCAAGAAGACTTGCCGGATTTTATTTCTATTTTGTGTCGGTTAGAGTAAAGGTGCCGGTGTAAGTCGGAATCAAGACTGTTATATGTCTTATTTAATGTTTGAGGAGACATGAGCAGCAATCTTCCTCCCCTCCCCTCACCCTCCGCCCCATCTTGCCAAGGATTCAGTTGCTTGTAGGGCCAGCCAGAAAATGTCCAAACAGCACTCACGCAAGATTAGGACCATGATCTTGTACAGTACAGTTTAGTCTTTCAGGCAGTTGTTTAACATCTGAAAGGAAAGATGATCTCCCTGTTCCCATGACCAACTGAAAATTTTCCTGCTAAAAGAACAGTTCATGACAGTCTGAGACAGGGATCAGAAGGATCAACAGATAATCCACGCAGACAATGAGACTTGTGGTTTTTAGGTCATGTTTCATCCTTCGTTTAGCATTGTGTTAGCTTGACATGGTGCAGCAGCTTAAAAAAACCTCTCTCTCAATTTTCCCCCTAACTGCTATATCTAGTAGTTCACGTCTGGGGTATGCTTTAGGACCTAGTTTTGTTTCCAGTGAAATCAAGAGCAAAACAGTTCTTAATTAGAATATGAGTGGGACTGGGACATTAATACTGACAAGAGACAGATATGATCTCTGCTTTTGTCACATACCACTTGCTACACTTTTATGCAAGAGAACTCCATCTCTAAACAACGAGGAGAAAATTCCTTCTGCTTTATATCATTACTTGCTGAAAATAGCTAGAGACGTCAAGAACAAAACTATTTCTAAAAATCTGTCAGCAAGTTGTTTACATGTGGGTGCTGTAACAACATGTTTTATACCTGCTCTATGCTACAGGGTTTATGTAATCAGTATCTTTCAAGACTGACATTTTTAATATGTGGTAATTTGCACATTAAATATACTATTTCACTGAAGTCATGCAGAGCAAAAACACATTTCGGTTATTACCATCTGCTAGTACGCTTTCTCAGGTGTTCCTTTTTGTGTAGGTAGAGCTCAAATGTATGCTCATTTGGTTTAAACTTGTTATGATTATTTGTCACTTCAGAGTAAAGAAGAAAACTAAATGCCATAAAGGTATGTTAGGCCTCACTCTGAAGAGAAAGGGAAGCTGTAATCTTTCCTTGGCAAGGCTGAAATTACTGAAAGATTTCTATGGATTATGTTATATTATATGTATCCTTTTGACTTCCATGGGGTAGTGGGAGGACTTTAAGATTCAAATTCAGAGGGCCAGAGAACTGATTCTGCTATCTTTCACCAAGAGATCCGTTAAAAATTAAGACATTTAATAACTTTATTGAAAATGTTGCCATTGAAAAGTATGTAGGTAATAAAGGTATGTAGGGTTGTTTTATTGCCATACCTTTATTGCCTGAATTTGGAGACAAGTGACCACCTCTTTCAGAGGGAGTTGGAGAGAATTGTAGATTCCTGCATTGTGATTGATAAGCTTTTTGCAAGAATTATCTATATCTAACTATAGAATAGGTAGTACCTAACCCTTTGTTTGAAGGGTGATCACCAGCCAACATAGAAAGGGTTCTTCTTTTTTTTTTTTGTCTCTCTGCATATCTAACTATATGCCCTTCCTTCAAACAGCAACTGGATTTTCTTAGTGGCTTCACTGTAGAGCCACAGAGGGGAGTAAAGTAAGAGTTCAAATTATTAAAATGACTCAAGACTCAAAATATGACTGATCTTTCAAATGCTGTCTCTAGAAAGGACAGAAGGATAAAAGCAAAAACAGCAGCAAAAGCTCTAGAAGAATGCTTCCAACCTCTGAACTAGATGCTTTCCTGATAAACAAATCCAGAAACAGCTCAGCTTCTCTGATACTGATTGTTGTTGTTGTTGTTGTTGTTAGTTGGCTCACAGCCTTTAACATCTGGTCCTCTGTTTCATGGTGAAGTTCTTGCCTGGTTTATATTTAAAATAATATTTTCCAGTCTTGGGACATTGTTCAGTACTGAAATTTAAAGAAGAAATATGATCTGATTTACAGCTATATTTGTTAAACATAGACATCAGGTTAATTGGAGGAGTGCATGCAGACCAGTGCTCTTTTCAACAGTTAAGGGACTGCTGTGAGATCCAGAGTGATGAGTATCAGTGTCAGCTGTTCAGCTTGTAAACTCCTCAGGGACCTCATCACTGAGTAATTTTCAATGTTCTGGAGACCTTAATGAGACTCCCATATTAAAATAATAGATTATTAATCAGGAAGCCTAATGATAAATGCTCACAAATTATGTAAGGGAAAAATCTGTGAAGGAACCGTGAGGTTTACAGAAAAGGTAAATTTTAGCCTTTGAAGTAGAAATATTTTCTTCTAAATTCTCCTCCCTCTCCCAAGAAAATCAAAATAAATCATCCTTTAAATATTCTCATGTATGGAGATTTGTGATCATACGGTCATACCTGTGCTTTTGTATCATCCCTGAAAGAATAACTGAAATCAGGAGGAAGTGAATCCCCCTCCATATGTAGTGTCCTTTAATAGTGCTGGCAATCGGTAAGTGATTTGCCTGGCCTTCTTTTTGATTGTCAATAGATTATACTGTAACATTTATAACAAAGATTAATCTGCATTTATTGTGCATCATAAACTATTGCTTTATGTGTTAAGGTGAGCACTGGCAAAGTACAGGCTTTCACCGTGACGTTTGACATGATTCTGGGGGTGTATTAGAAGTGGATAACCAGAATGCTGTGAGAAGAATACCCTACGCTGCTACGACACATGAATTGGCCAGGGTCGTGTCCATGTCTGTGGACAAGTAAAACGCCAGTACTAGTTCTCTAGCATGACCTGCAAGCGCAATTCAAAGAAGATTCCTAGATTTGAAGAGGGCTACATTTCTATAGCCACACTGTGGCATTTAAGCACTTTGAGAGCCATGGCAGTGTCGTCATCTTTTCTAATTAAGAGAAACATTTCTTTTCTCAGCATCATCAGTTATCCTTTGTCTGAAAGGAGGATAAGGTGACCGAGGTCCTAAGTATCTTTAAATGTAGATAAGATATAGTTCTTCAGGAAATTAGATAAAAATATTTAACTAATAATATCTGCCTGCTGAGGCCACTGATATTTGGGGAAAATCTAGTGTTGCTTTGTGTCTAGGGTTCTAAGCTATTTTGCCTGAATTATGGGTCCCCAGAAGGCTTGAATGGTTCTGCTGAGGTTCACGGCCACATTGTGTGTGGCCACCTTTTCCCTTATTCCTCCCTTTGAACTTCCGAAAGAATGATGGGGAGGATTTGGTGTGTATTCAGAAAGTGAGCAAGTTACCACTCACATACACTTGCCTCCGCAGTCTTGGGCAAAAATATTTAGAAGTGATCTGTCTGTTCTCTTAGTACACGTCATCTATTAAATTCACAGAAAAATCAGACCTGTCTTTGACAGACTTTTGATATTCAGAATTGAAGAAGCTGATTTAGCAACAAAATCTAAAATGATAGGTTTGTTTAGGTTATTTGTAGATGAAGGGAAATCCATTTCTTGAAGGGTTTTTTCTTTCCAGATTTGACACCAAACTGCCATGCTTTTGAAATTTCCATGGGTCAATTAAAAAACTGATTGATAAAAACAGTCGCGAAATAGAATTCAGCTGTCTTGATTTTACAATATCCGATAAAAATAGGAAAATGAGAATTTCAAAATGGAAATTCCAAAGTGTTTTATTGTAATGATTTATACAAATACCTCTTTCCAAAATGATCAGACACTTGTTACTTTTTTCTCCAGCAAAATATGTGCAAAACTGTTTCATGAAATATTTAGATTTTAGTGAAATTGCAGACTTTAATGAATGACGCCATTTCTTTTCTGATCAGCTATCTTAGTTTTATTCAGAAAAGTAGATTCTGATCATTCCTTTCTCTTATCAAATAAGCTTCAACACTTTGAAAGCTCTGTTGGCTGACACCTCTTTCAATTAAGCATAACTACCTGCTCTCTGTTATTTGAAATAAGAAGTATTGGTCTTTATGCTAAGAGGTACTAACTGTCCTCAGTCACTACTGAAGCAAGGATGAATCCTTATAGCCTCTGGCTCAGATTGTAGTTATGCACTTGCAGTGTTTTTGTTTTCTAGTTTTTTGGTTCAATTTGGTAACTGTAACTCCATTTTGGTAGAAAAATGAAGGGAATAGTTTTCATGCACATTTATTCACTGTTAGTTTCTTTTTTTGTTAGTTCTCAGTATCCATTATTTTAAATGTCTGTTTTAGCAGAATGTTAAAAATATACGTATATAATTCACATTGTGTATTCATATCTCCTTTACTCTTTTGCTGAGCTGGGATTTTAGGTTGTGAAACATTATACACAGCAAAATAGGATAGCTGTGAATGTAGTGACACGTGCTGTTGAGACCTAAAACAGAAAAGTAACCAAAAGCCATTTATGAAAACAGTAATAAAGCAGCATCAGTATTTTTAAACTCTCATGCAAAAATGCAGAATGCAGGACTGTCTTATTCAATACTTTTGTCTCTATATATTGTTTCCTTTTGTTAGCAATTTCCTTGTTATGCTCCAGACTGCACGAGTCAACCCGGAAGGGACTTAGGGCCCATGAAAAACCTTATAGTCACTCAAAAGTAACAGAGAACAATACTGGATAAAACTCCTATGTGTTGATGGTGAAAGCCTTATTTTCTAACTAGCCTTCTCAATTTTTGTTCAAATTCTTCAGGTGCAAGTATTTTACAGTCACAAGTAAGGTAATTGGATACGCAAATGAACGCTTATATGTGCAGCTAATTTGCATGTGCAGTTTTGGAGAACATAAACAGCTTCATGCTCACTTAGGTGCCTATGGAAATAAAGCTCTTTATGGGTGTTTTGTGTACTACATCTGCATTGAATTTATTTTTACCGCAGTTGCTTATTAGAATAGCAGCTGTTATGCTACATGACTTTATTTGACCCACTAGCACACCTTATTAAAAATTCATGTGGCAAAAAGTTGTTTGCTTAGTAATTTAAAAGAAAAGTTAACGATAATTTCAATTTTCTCAGTTTCTAATAGTGTATACCAAGTAACAGGTTTTTGCTCATTTTGCTGAAAATTGGAAAGTCACAAATAATATTTACCATTCTGTAGTAGAATTTTTCTCTGCAACTCTAGAATAAGTGTAATATGATATACCTGCTAGTAGTAATTTTAATGAGTAGTAATTTTAATTTTATTAGCAATGTGGCCAGTCCTTAACGAAAGATGAGAGCGTGATTTCTAATATTCGCATGTCGTGTTGGAACAAATCATCGCAAGCTTTTAGCTCTCCTCCAGTTAATTTCCTGTTCGGAACAAGTGCAGGGCTCCATCACTGTAGTTACTCTATCCTGGGGGTAGATCAGTCTCCTTGCTGTCTCCTAGTCTGTGAGGGTGCTGAGCCAGCCACGTATCTAGAATAATTTTCTTGTCACTTCATGCCGGTTCAAACACTAAGACTTAATTCTCTCTCTCTGGCCCTGCCTGCCAGCTTATGTTGGAGGTAGAAGCAGGAGTCCTGGGCTGTCTGCTTCTCTCCTTGTGCACAGACCACTGATGTGAGTGACAGCACGGAAGTGAGCGGTTGCTTTGGTACTCTGGTTTTGCTCTCTGTAGCTTGTTAATTCCACACGAAGCAGATCGTAATTGTTATGCACTTGATGAAGGGAGAACAAGAGATCCAGACGAGCCTGAGAGATCCACAGGAGTCGATTTCTTTTCCTGTTGGCCCTGATCTTTTTTACTCATTAATTAAAGTGCATAGATCCGTACTGTGGAGGCATTTGGCAAACTGAAGAGAGGCATTTGGCTTCTGTAATAACCGATATCTGTTTTTCCCTATAGAAGAAGGTATGAGGTACTTCCAGATTGATACTGTCAGTGGAGAGCTCAGAACAACTCGGTCTCTGTCATGTGCTGAGAGATCAAACTACCGAGTGGTCATCACAGCCAGAGACCAGGGAATGCCTTCACTTCAAGGACATGCTGCTGTGTATATCCAGGTACTTGTTTATTTTGTACAGATAGAAAAATTATGATAGATGCTTAGTTTCTTCAAAACACAAGCTGAAAATCAGCTGAAGAAAGGAAACGTTCAAAATTATAAGCACATCATCACATCATAATTTTCTTTAGTCTAGCCACTTTTCTGTTGAGTGGGGAAATCAGAGGGCAAACTAAGTTGTGATTTGTTTTGAATCCACAACAGCATTATGGGTCATCTTGCAAATACACAATATTTGTACTTCAGTAGGAGGTGGTTATGAACACTGGAAGAGAGGGAAAATACCAAGGTAGGCAGAATGAAAAGCACATATAGGGAGGGGCTTAAAATGAGAGAAAGAAACTAAAAAAAAGGCTGTTAGAGCAGATACTGTTTCTCCACTACATTGCTCCCTTTTCTGAATTTCCTCCCAGTAAACCAATATAAGGATAGCTCATTCCTTTGTGCTGGTTATATAGGGTTGCTATGCATGGGAGTGTGAAATCCAGTGTGTGCTCTTTCTGCAGCCAGTCATCTGCTGTTTATCGTTGAGTATCTACAAAACTGCTATTTTCATGGTACCCAATTTCAGGTTGCTTGGAAAAATGCTTAAATCAACACAAGGCAAACGCAGTTCACATCGATAAAGATTTTTTCAAATGAAAACATTAATTTAGAACTTTACAGCAGTCTGTAATAAATGAAATAATTGTATAGTGATTTAAACAACCCTCAACAAAATCAACTACCTATTTTCAGTTTGGCAAACTGAACCGTGTACCGTAACTTCTGTGTCAAATCTCTCTCTGTGAGCACTGTGATGCTGATGCTGTCGTACGCAGAAAAAGAATGGAAGTGCTTCAGAGTAGGGCAGAGATAGCAGTGTTTGAGACTTCTGCCTGTGGATGCCTGACATTCAAAGTGGGAGACAACCTTGTTACTTTTTTTATGTGAAAGTGAGAGAATTATGGGATTATTTGCTTGCTAAGGACTTCCTGAACTTACAGAGCATGCTGAGTTTGTTTGCTGGCTTTGAGACATACCTAGGATAGTTATATAGTCACAAATAATAGATGATTGAACCCTCAGTTAAGGAAAATCATTTGTGTTACAATATTCCTAATACCAATGGGAAATTATTACAGTCTTTGTGCTTTTGTTTCAGGTAATTCCACTTCCCAAAGGGAGATCTGTCTTCTCTCAAGACTTCAAGCACTTTGTCATACCTGAAAATTTTAAACCTGCACAAGTATTGAATTCTGTAAAGTTGCCTGATAATCATCTGATAAACAATAGGAAATTGCGTTTTAGTATCGCTGAAGAAGAAGATGATGTTCATTTTGAAATAGATAGCTTGACAGGAGATCTTTTTCTTTCCAAGGAACTTGACTATGAAACAGCTTCTCACTTCCTTTTGCAAGTAACTATAAAGAATTGTGATGATAATTCTCCACAGAATACCACTGTCTTCCTAAGTATTGATGTTGAAGATCGAAATGACCATTCTCCATATTTTCAAGATGACTTCATAGTGATTGGCATAGAGGAAAATGTACCTGTTGGCACTCTGGTGTACACATTCAATGCAAAAGATGGAGATGGCAGTTTTCTGAACAGCAAAATACAGTATTCCATGGAAATGAGTAGCTTAGGTGAAAATCCGTTTCTTATTCACCCTTCGTACGGCACCCTGATCACAGCATTTCCACTAGACAGAGAGCTTACTCGCTGCGTTGTCCTTACGGTATCTGCAACAGACCAGGCAATGAATCTGACTGATCGCAGACTTGATTCCCTGACCGTGAAAATTGTCGTTTTAGATATCAATGACAACAGTCCCAGTTTTACGTCTTCCCCTCTTTCCTATGTCATGGAGGATGTGGAAGTGGGCTCCCTTGTTCACCGCATAGTTGCAAAGGATCCAGATGAAGGAAGAAATGGACAAGTAACATTTCACATTCTTTCAGGCAACGAAAACAAAGCATTTATACTGGATGAGGTCACAGGTACTGTAACTTCTACTCTCTATAATTTCTCATACTGTGCTTATTATGGTAGTATCTGGCAGTGTATATAATGCAGTTTTGTACTGAGATACTAGATTAATATTTGTCTGTTGTCCTCAAGGTTAATTATCTTGGGCAGAGCACCACATGGCCATGGCCGTACTACATTCAGTATGGAAGCTCAGTGAAAGTTAGCTCAGCAATGTCTGCATGGTACCGTACTGTGTTGTGTAGATGTGCTGGAGTGCCTTCCAGCAGTGCATTAAGTAATGTGGGAGGAAAGTGTGGGCAGTGAACTATTTTGTGCTGTTTTTTACACAATGCTTACTTAAAATATGTATACACACATATGTTGGTATGTGTATATATAAGTATATAGGCTAGGAAAGGCAAAACCAATTTCAGAGGACTGTTCATTACACCCTGGATAGAAAAGGGTCTGTGGAGGTTCTGAGTGTTGATTGAATTTCATTCTTCAGGCCTCTAAAATTCCCTGGTTCCTGAATGAGTTATTCGGCTATTATGACATCTGCACAAGACTGCAAATCTCACCAGAATAGCTGCAATTTTATTTGTTTTTATTTTGATTTTAATTCCTGTGTGCTATACCTGTCTGTTCTTTGATCTGTAGAGTTCCTAATTGTAGAACTGATTTCCAAAAGAAGACTTATATTCTTTTTTTAGTAACATAGGTAAAGGTGTAAAACTTTATGGAAAAACTCTTCATGAGTATAGATAGAGATTCACAGCAAGAGCAGAGTGAGGAAAAGGTATCTTCTACCTGTTGCCGATCATTTGACAACAACATTTGACTTGGAAGAGGGTATATTCTGTATCTTTGCTCTATATTTACGAAGCCCTCTGAGAGAAGAATTAAATAAAAAGAAATCTCTCTTTGAACCTAACGTGTTTGTTTCATGAATCCCAATTTCCCCTGAGGTCAAAATGAATATTTCTGGCCCAATTAGGGAGTCAGAGGTAATGACTGACTCCAAAGTGTGGAAGCCTTGTAGCACTGGCACAGTATTTTCTGTGGTGCTATGTTGGACCTGTGAACGCTGGAACACCTGGGACCGTAAGCTGGAGTAGAATACTTTTTTAATCCTTCCAATCTTTATAATAGGACTACTATCTACAGCCCTGCTTTTGGACCGTGAGGTTCAAGAACGCTACAGTTTGACTGTCATGGCTCTTGATGATGGCACCCCAGCTCTCTCTGCAACTCAGATTCTGACTATAAATGTTCTTGATGTGAATGATGAGAGACCAGTATTTTTGAAGCAATTTTATGAAACTGCAGTCTGTGAAAACCAAGATCCAGGGGAGTTTGTCGTAAAGGTAGAAGCTGTGGATAGAGATTCAGGTAATTTCAGTTCATTTGCTGTTAATTTCATTGTGGACATAATAGACCAATCAAATCTTGCTGCTTAATGTGCTTGCATGTACAGCCGTTGTGCTTTTCCCAAGGTAATGTAGGAGTTTGAGTTTCAAAACATGGCTGTTGGCTCAGACTTTCATCCTTTATTCAAAGCTTTGAGGGATTCTGCCTTGTGCACTGAGTTAGCCCTGGGTGCTCAGATGACGCAGAGCAGTACAACATACTCTAGCTTTCACGTGAAAATAGCTACACGACTGTGGTTATAAATCAGCCAGCAATGTTCAACTCAGTTAAAGTCAGCGTTTGAATGTTTTGTTTCTCTCAGTCAAAATGTTTGTTAAAATAGTCTACTAGATAGCGCCCTGTGTTTTGTAACAGAACCAGCAAGTATGCACTAATCTTTTCTGACCAGAGAGGGGCACTGTCATCCAACATTTTCCAGGTAGTTGAGCTGTCAAGGAATGTTAGAAGCCACTCTGGATTTCAGATGTGGTTTTACATACATTAAAAGTTAATGCATTGTTTTTCAAACCTGTGCAAAGTGGATGAGGAAGAAGTGTGGTTCTTATGCTCTTTGAATCGCAGATAATGTGTAAACATGACAGAGCCTTTGTTACGCAACAGAAAATTTTCAATTACCTACTCTTTTGAAATATCTAAAATGCATATGATGTTACAGGTAGTCTATGTGTTGGAGAGGATCTTGCCTTCAGTAATATCAAGCACAGTATTTACAGCTGGTATAATGTGAAACAGTTGTACAGAGCCTATGGTCTGCAGTAAAAATAAAATCTGAAAAGAGAATTAAATATTGAAACTTGCTGCAATTGGCAAAAAATTTATCTCAGCTATGTGAATGACTTTCTCTTTACTGTATGTTCACTTTATGCACGTTTTTAGAATGGTGTAAGGCTGTGCTATCCAAAAAGTAGATCTTGTTAGCAAAATCATCTTCAGTATCCAGTAAAATTTCCTATTGAGCTGTAAAGCTCATATTGATTACAAAAAGCTGGTGTGAGATATATAGCTCAGCAGAGATGCTGCATAGAAGAGACATTTCCCCACAAGAATGTAAAATATTTAGAAAATAGAAATGGGTGGGTAGCCCTGTCTAGGAAAGTCTTCATGACAGCTGAGCAGTGTTGCTGTCTACCCCTGTACCTCACTCTTCCAAGTATTTTCTTTCTTTTATGGATCACACTATAAAAACAAAGGCAAAGTATTTGATGTAAAAATCTGCAAGTTAATAGAGAAAAGAAATAGGAATTTGCTTGAATTCCTCTCCCTCCTCTCTCCATCCCTTGTATTTATTTATTACATATCTTGTGGGAAGTACAGCAGAAGGGAAATTTTAGGAGCAATTAGAAGGAGGGAGCGGGGGTGACTTGGCAGGATGAGGAAGGGCAATCCAAGCATAGGGGATGGCACATGGCTCTAGCCAGGATGCAGCTCACTGCGCAGACACCTTGGGTTGGAGCAGTATTGTGGTTTGTGGTTTCTTCCTTTCCTTTCTTTTCTTTTTTTTTTAATTTTCCCTAATTTTACCCTTTTTCCAGTAACCACAGTCCTTCTGTTGGGGCTTTTTCTCTCATTTACGTGGGTTGGCCTGCGTTTGTATGTATGTATGTATGTATGTATGTATTATTCTGAACAAATACTGAAAGTGATGCTCACAATGTAAGAAGATGAGGGTTTATATGAGAGTCATATAAACATAATGCTACTCACTTTTCTTATATTTTTGGGACAGAAGTTTACAATGAAGACACTCCTTTCATGCTGTTCTCTATTTTTTACATCACAATTTTTACACTATTTTTATTTGCTCTTTAAATTGCACTTCACATCCCAGTAATATTTACCTGGTCTCAGTAGAGGACTTTCTTCCCTTCACTAACTTTTGTCACTTCATATGTTCCTTGACTGACCACAGGGAGGAATTATTTTTGCTGACAGTTGCAGCCATCATCATCCTTTTGTTTCATTTGTTTTTCTACTGTATGTATTCCCTGTGAAAGGAAGAAGGAAAACAAGCAGCTGTAATCTACTTTTTGTTTGAACCAAGCTTTAAGCTTGCTGCCACTTCAAAAGGTCTTTTGTGGAAATCACTGCTAACTTTTTTGCCTGTAACAACTTTCCTCCACGCTGATATCCATGAAACATCCTGTTCCACCTGCTCCCACCTATGCCTTACTACAGTTGCACTTACTACAACTCTACCTTGGCTTACTTTCTGCACTGGATGGGAGCTCCCCACCTGCCCTAAGGCCAAGATCTAATTGTGCAGTGCAAATGAATACAAGTGTGTAATACAAGTAAATGCTGGGAACAAATATATAGGAAAACAAAAGATATCCGCAAAATATTTAAGCTAGGTCGAGGATTCGGCTGGAGATGTCTCTTTGCAGAAGCTCTGAGTGAACTAAACTAGCATTTGCAAGGCCTGCTTTTAAGCTGCTGTTCACCGTTGCTGTTCTGTCGGGAGCATTATGAGAAAAATCTCAGATTAATAGGGACAGCTAGCTTAGAGAGTTAAAGGGGCTTATTGCCGTTCTCTACAAATGCTGCCTTGCTCATATTTGTAGATTATCATGGTGATAACACTAGTATTGTAAAGATGGGACTTGAGCCAGAATTTTTGGGGAGCTGGGGGACGGGCGTTTGTTCCCATTGCTTCTTCGCTAGTGCTAGCACTAGACCTGTTCAGAGCGTAATATTCATGGCTGCTGCTCCAGAGAAGCTGTGGTGGTGCCCTAAAAATGCAAGCGTTACCAGTGCTGTGGTGGAAGAATAGCGAAGGGAGCTAAAGCTTTTCGCTAGCTGAAGCTCAAGCACCGTGAATTCACCCTGTCGTTTGGCCTGGAGGGGAAGGGGTCCCTGTCACTGGCTCGTGGCAAGGAAGCCTAAGGAGACTTAGCTTCTCTTGCAGCTCTTAATGTACTGAGGGAGTAGTTTCAGTTACTCATTTCAGTTTGTAATTTCAGCCCCCAAAAGGTAACTAGCACTATTATTCAATAAACCAGCAGGTTGGATTAAGTGCAAACGTGTCAGTTGCTACGCCAGGCTCATGGTATGTGAATATGGAGTCATGGTTCTCCTCTCTTGGGCAGTGTCAGGTGTGCAGCTTTTTTCTTCTGCTAGACATACGCTCCTAGCAGCTGGATACCAGAAAGGAGGCAGTAAATGCTTGATAAATAAATGTAGTTAGGGGTGTTTTAATTTCAACAATGTGTGAATAGTCAAGTTTTATGGCACCTGTGGGTTTGTTCAGCACTGACTGTAAATAATGTCCATTGTGAAATCTGCCAGTGAATGCACTGCGTCAAAGCTGCTCAGCTGCAGAAGACCAAAGGCTAGTAGTTAACGTCATCCCTACTGTGTCATGTGTATTTTTTTCCAGGTGTAGCCTGTTGCTGGTTAAGGCTAGATAAATGCAGACAGAACTGCCAAGATCTTTTTAAAAACGTAGTTGAGTGGTATCTGATATTGATGGATTGGATGGAGTGCGTTGGTAAACCTTAAATTTTGCAAGCCATTCTCCTTTATTGTCTTTGGTGCTGTGATTTTTCTCCTTCCTTCTGGAAAGCTGGAAGGATTTCTGTAACTCATCTTCCTTCTCCTATGTAGAAAGATTTTTTATGAATATTTTCTGAATATGTCCTTCCCCTCAATTAGTTTAGATACAAATGCATTTACACTAGTCATTCTTTGAATCACATTTCAGTAGCATTGCCAACTGTTCAGCAAAGCTATTCAAAAGCAAAACAAGGCAGTCATTGGCATTAAAAATTGTAGCGTCTGTTTCTTCTCTCACATTGATGTTTCTCCATCGACTCTGTTGTAGATTGTCCTATTTTCCACTGCAGTGAATGAGAACAGGCATGCAGTGTTTAACTCCAAATAACAGTTTTGGTATTTCTAGGAGTGCTGTAGTTTTCCAGGTGCACTAACTGTCCCTACACTACTAAAAGACTGATTGTTGGTTAAAAAAACATAGAAAAATGATCGAATGGAACTTACGAAAATCTGTAAATAAACGAGCACAATGGTACAAGATGAATGATCGCTGCCCTTCAAGTATAAGGTATGATTAGATTCATTAAATGTAATAATGTGAATAATCTTACTCTGTAACCAGTGATAGAGATGGCATTATATTTCCTCAGAAGGATATTGAAATTACCAGAAATATGGAAGAAATTATTTTGTATCCATAATGGATAAGAATCACGGAATCACAGAATAGTTGGGGTTAGAAGGGACTTCTGGAGATCTAGTCCAACTTCTCTGCTCAAGCAGGGGAAGGGTCACCTGGAGCAGGTTGCCCAGGACTGTATCCAGTCAGGTTTGAATATATCCAAGAACGGAGACTCCACAACCTCTCTGGGCAACCTGTTCTAGTGTTCAACCCCCTCAAAGTAAAAAAGTTTTTTCTTATGTTGAAATAGAATTTCCTGTATTTCAGTTTGTGCCCATTGCTTCTTGTCTGTCACTGAGCACCACAGAGAAAGGTCTGGCCCCAACCTCTTGACACCCTCCCTTCAGGTATTTATATACATCGATAAGATCCCCCCTCCATCTTCTGCAGGCTGAACAGGCCCAGCTCCCTCAGCCTTTCCTCATGTGAGAGATGCTCCAGTCCCTTCATCATCTTTGTAGCCCTTCTCTGGACTTTCTCCAGGAGCTCCATGTCTGTCTTGTACTGGGGAGCCCAGCACTGGACGCAGCACTCCAGGTGTGGCCTCATCACCAATCATCTGATGTATCAGCCACTTCTCCCAGTTTTGTATCATCTGTGAACTTGCTGAGGGTGCATTCAGTCCCAGAGATTGTGGAATCACATTTCTTGTTCAACACAGGCAGACAGCTTTGAAAGAAAAATTTTAAAAGGCCACTACACTTTTACTCTGCTTATTAGAGACAGAAGGACTAATGATCACGCACTGTATACAAGTGGTAGGTCTAATTAGGAAGTGAATGGAGTTGATATTCAGAAAAGCTTTGAGGAAGAAAAATCTTTAATCATCACTTCTGGAAATCCTACAAGACTTAATAAAACCAAACATTATCATTTCAGATATTGGCTACAACTGGGAACAGTCTAAAAGGTCTGAGACCAAATTGTCTTTTATGCAGAAAACATCTTGGAAATGCCTACTATGTGAATCTTAATGGGACTTAGGCACCTGCCTGCTCAATATTACAAATATTTGGAACTTCTAGGCAGATCTTTTCTCTGTGTTTATACTGCTCTCTGTGTTCTCTGTGTTGTACTGTATAGAGATACTTGTGTTAGCTCCGAATGAAGGAAGCTGAGAACCAGAACTGCCACAGCAGTGTGGTGTTCTCCCTGACATCCTGTTGAGAAATAGTTAATTACCTCTGGGAGAGCACCAGACAATATATAGCTTCCAAGATTTAAGTTAATGCTGTCTTGCACCATGGTGGTGCATCAGCTTGTTTGCAGCGTCTTGTTGCACAGTGGAGATGTGCCCTGAGCACCTAAAAATGTTACTGGGATTGCTTTGAGTGACTGAAAAACTTAGGCACAAAGCAACACCTGAGCAGGGATTTTGGAAATCTAAATTTTAAATATATATCTCTTGAGGTAATGAAAAATCAGTTACTCACAGCCATAAAAATAATAATAATTTCATCCATAACCCATTTCCCAGTTGGAAACGAAGAGAGAGAGATAAATATATATAGTAGAATGTGAGGAGAATGGCTATTTCACTAAGACTTCCATTCTGCTTTTAAGGACTGAATTCCTTGCTTCAGTATGAAATCTTACCTGGAAGTGGTTATGGGAATTTCAGGATGAACTCAGACAGTGGAGAGGTCATGACAACAGTGTCACTGGACAGGGAAACCGAGGAGGTTTTCTATATTAAAGGTAACAGTATAAAATGGGAACAGTGTAAAATGGGAAGTGAGAATGGGTGGTGTCATTATCAGTGTTATCTTTTCTTCTTGTCATCTCAATTGGATAGAAGTAGTAAATCTTTCAGGAACAGAGAGTAGCTTTGTCCTTTTTGCATCGCGCAAATATTCTGCTATTCTGAAGTTGTTAAGGAGTGTCAATTGTGGCACCCACAACCTTTGTATAATTTTTTTTTCTTTTTATTAATTTTAGTTTTGGTTCGAGATAGTGGAACTCCTTCACTATCAAGCACAGTAACAGTTATCTGCAAAGTTCTGGATGAAAATGATTACTCTCCAAAGTTTCTTTTTCCTGTCTCTGAGATTCGTATTCCAGAGAATCAACAGCCTTCTATCATTCACACTGCCTTGGCTGTAGATGTGGATGCTGGCAATAATGGAACCTTAAGATATGAAATAATTGGTAAGTTATGCCGTATCATTTTAATAATATAAATTAGGAAGTATATAAACAGTAGTTCCAAGATTTAGAATAGGCTTCATTTTACCTAGCCTGCCCAGCTCCTGTCTTGTAGACGCACTTTCTTCACGTGAACAGGGAAAAAAAAAAAAAACCTTTTACACCTTTGTCTCTATTAATAAAGACTTTCTAGGAATACTTTCAGTCTGTGTTCTGGATTAGGACCAGTACAGAAAAGGAAAACAAAAATTATCAAATGTTGGAAAGACGCATTTATTGGAAAGGCGTAATTTTGTCCCTTCTGTCACAGTGGTGGAAGTTCTGAATGCAAAGATACCCTCTGAAGTCTTGTAAATAAGCACAAGAATGCATCTAAATAAGTGGACTTTTTGTGTCATGAAAGCTTCTTTCACCTAGCTATTAGTAAAGTCATATTTCATATTGCTGAACTCTCCCCATGTCCACTATGCCAATGTAAGCTCCCCAGCTGTTCAAAGCTTCCTGTAATATCTTTGCACAAATACAAGCTAGCTGTGCTTACTTTGGTTTGGAGCTGTCAGCAATAGTTCACATGTAGGCAGATGGCTACTGTGGTAACAGCCAACAAATCTTTCTTTGAAGAAGAAGTTATGAATTCCTTTATGTTTTCTTGGTTTTAATTTCATGATCTTTTATGGTCTTTAATTTAATGATCTTTCTGCATGTTATAAAGTATGTATACCATTCACTGTTACTAAAAGCACTGACTTTTCTTCTAGCAACAGCTTCAGAGGTTTGCCTTTACCTTTTTTTTTACTCCTCCAAATCAAGACCTTGCACTACCATTTACTTCCTAGAGCCAGGTTTCTAGAAGAGAGCAAGGAGCAAGTAATTACAACTGTCAGCAATGCTTCATAGCTTTCTGGAATTTGTAACTAAGGTTGGGAAGAGGTCACTTTGTGCAGCAGCATAGTTGCAGGAGATTTTATAAGGTGTGCTGCTTTGGGAAAAAAGACATGCATCTGGCAAAATAGCCACTCTGTAAATTGATATGACATTCGGTATTTACTGTCATTGCCACCCACTGATTTAAATGAAATGCAGGTTTTAATTTTTATAAACGAAAAAGAATATGCTAAAGGCACATGAGCAGACCAGCTGTACTAGCAATTGGATCATGGTATTACAATTAACATTGTAATTGAGTGGTACTCACAAGGGATTCCTTTTTCAAATGCAATTGTTTTTGATCATTTTCTCTTCTGTGTGTTTGAAAGGTGGAAACGTGGGTGAATACTTCACACTAAATAGCACCTCAGGAAAACTGTTGGTCACTCACAGCTTAGACAGAGAAGATATTAGCAATTTCACTCTTGTGATTGAGTGCCATGACCTGGGCAACCCACCAAGAAGCTCCACTGCACAGTTATATATAGCAGTCTTGGATGAAAATGACAACAGCCCTTTATTTGCAAAGAATCACTATCAAGTCTCTGTGAGAGAAGATCTAGAAGAAGGCTCAGCCATCGTGGAACTTTTTGCTTCTGATAAAGATGATGGCCTGAATGGTGAAGTTATGTACTCTCTCATTGATGACACCTTTGGAGCATTTGCTATTGATAGTACAACTGGTTCTATAGTTACTTCACAGGTATTGGACCGGGAGACCAAATCACAGTATACCTTTAGGGCTGTGGCAAGTGACTGCAGCATCCATTTGCCAAGAAGCACCACTGTCAGCATTGTGGTACACATTGATGATGTCAATGACAATGATCCAGTTTTTTTACAGAATCCTATCAAAGCCTTTGTGCCTGCTGAAACCTCTGTGAATGAGACGGTGGCCACTGTTAGAGCTGAGGACATGGATCTGGGGCCAAATGGAGCAGTTGTTTTTAGTTTGGTGGTACCGGAAACTATATTTGAGATTGACAGGAATACAGGTGACATCATCCTTCAGGAGCCTTTGGTTTCCAAAGACTTCAGGACCCGACTGCTAGTGATGGCTTCCGATCAAGGTATCTCACCTCGAACAGCCACAGCTATGGTAGCTATCTTTACAGAGGAACAAGAGGAGGAGATTTCATTCAGTCACAGCTTGTATGAAGCAAGCGTGCCTGAGAACAGTGCAGCAGGTGGGTATCGAAGCCTGATTTCTATTCTTACAGTTGCTGGTTTTCTTCCCTTTAGGTATGGTCATGTGCATGAATAACATAGGGAAATCTTTTTCCTTTGCAGCATCTGGGAGAAGTTAGATTTGGATGAAGGAAATACCCTTCCACCCTTTTCCAGTGCACCAGAGCCAAAAAGAAGCATGATCTGTTAGTTGGAGGCATTGTCTGGCCGTATGCAAGAAATGTCACTCACGTTAAACAGAATGCTTCTGAATCGAAGATGGTGCATTTCCATCCCTCAGCCTAGGGACCCCAGAGCATCAGTGGGTTCTCTCTTTTAGCAAAATTGCTTTAGTGATGGATGGACAGTGTGTACTTGTTGTTTCACTTGTCACACACGCAGGTTCAAATAAGATGAGTGGTGTATACCAGTTGCAACATGAGATTTTTTGTTTTAGTGAAATCCTTCATGAACTGTAATAGCGTTCTGAGATATTTTAAAACCTTGCCTAAGTTTTAGATTTGTTAACAAAAGGAGGTTGCGTGGGGTACAACCGCTTGTAGTTTAAGTTACAAGGTGCTCAAAACTTTTTGTTCACTATAATAATGAGAATTACTGCCATACTTTTTATCATTCACAGAATATTTGTAGATATGCATCCTGGCAATTAGATATGATAAGACCCTTTTCGTGCTTCAGGGATGGGTTCATCATAATGAGGGGCAGAAAGGAATACCTTTCACATTGTTGCACTTACGAATCCTGCTGTACAATTAACCAGATGTATTTAGAGGTCTGACCTGCGCTACATTCTTAATTCAGCTTCTGCTTCATGCGGTTCACCTTGAACAAGTCATTTATCCTCTTTATAGTTCAAATTTCCCTCTGTAAAATGAGAGCAATGTTCCTTTATGTCCTAAGGGTGTAGTGAGACTAGGACTTCTTAGATCTTGAGTAATGGCCTATATATTTGATTAGGAATCAGTAAAAATGAAATGTATTAACGATTTTGTATAACCAGTCAATGTTCTATGGATAGTTACAAACAGAATAGAGAACTAAGGGTGAAGATGGCTGTTGCAGAAATTATTGCTGTGATTGTTCAACCATTTCTTCCTCTGTGTCTCTTTGGGACCACAAGCCAAATTTTCAGCAGTGTATTTTAAGGTATAGGTAGGTCTGTGAGTGTAACTGATGTTTCATTTAACCAATCAAAAAAGGCAATAAAATGAAAAAAACTGGTTTTGGATTAAGTGAAAATTTTTTGGGAGTGACCATGTATGAAATGTTTTATTTTCAGTCCCTTTTTAAAAAGCTGTGACCAAACCACCGGGCTACAGCATGCTTCTTGCTCTGTCACTGTCTCTCAAAATACATGTAGGATTTTAGAAAAAATGAAAGGGTTCCAACAGGAAAGAGAGAGGAGTCCTGCCTTTGAGCATGCAGTAGTCTGATGGTTTAAAACACTCCTGAGACAGCAAAGGTGTAGATTCAGGTGTCCTCAAGCTGAACGTTTCCCTTTCTCTCACCCCATGCTGAGCACTCTGAGAACTGAGCCAAGGGATAGAAGTTAATTCTTCTCTAGCATGTTTGTGAAACAGCAGCTTTTGTTACAAATACCCCTCCACCCCCCTGCAATCAGAAATCTCTGTACTAATTTGTTTTGACATTTAGGAAATGGTTTTTGTTCCGTGAATTTGATCAGGATTTACAAGTAGTTTTGGATGCCCTAAAATTGAATTTTTCTGTGAACATGAGTCACAGATACCCAGAAGCCTCTTTTTGGAGTCACCATTGTACAGTAATTAGTTGTGTGTCACTCTGCAAATGAGACTCTGCCTTAGAGGGCTTACTGCTCCCAGAAGATGCAGTTCAGATCTCCCAGAACTTAATGTTTCAATTTCGCTTGCTTTCTGTCTTTGAACTGATCTGCCAGGTGTGAACCAGTTGTGGTGCTGTGTTTGGGGCCCCAGATCATATGTCTGGAAAGAGCAGAGACCAGGATGTTTCTAGAGGGGACTCCTGGGCTCTGAATTTTGTTTCTCCCTATTCCAGCAGGCTTGTATTTTCAGAATGTGTTGTGAGAACCCATTTGTCAGTCTTCCCATGGGAGTAAGATGAAGCTCTGGGGTTCCAGTCCTTTCAGGGGAGATTATATTAATCTGCATGAATCCTCCATTATGGCTGGACAGAGCTAAATTTCTTTCTAGGTAGGAAAAATTAGTAAGGTTGAAGATATGTTTAGTTAGGAATAGCAAAATAAGAATACCAAAATAAGAGCTTTTCGGCAATGGATAAGCTAATCTGATCCTAAATTTTCTTAAGTTTGGATACTTTCATGGGGCAGGCTAGACAATGCAGCTTGAAATTGTGGAAATGCCCCAAGGAACTGTGGAAACAGAATACGATAGTCAGATGTTCTCCCGCTCAATCTATAGAAAATATAAATAAGATTCAATTTGTTTTGATTAGAGGAAGTTTAGCAAAGCTTCAGGGTAAACTGGAAGGTTTCATCATAAAATTTTGGTTTGTATATTTAATAAAAGGCTATATGCTAAGAAGATCAAATTATTTTAAGAGTATGAGAGATTTTAATCAAACACTGATACTATTCTTGCTCTCTGTGTTTGCAGTATTTCTTGTTTATATAACCATAAGTACATGTCAAATATGTTATGTTTCGGAGAAAAAATTATTAAAATTAAAACTTCCATAGAAGTTAGCTTACTGGATATATATGAACCTTGGACCCCTACAAGTATGAATAATACCAGTGTATTCCGTCCAAGGGAGGTTTATGTTACACACTGAGTATTTGTAGAACTGTTATTAATAAATTTGGCTTTTCCTCCTAATTTTACTTCTACCTTAACTAATAGGGTGGGAAAACTGTGAGTTTATTTTTAAAAGAATCAAAACTCAAAATAACCTAAACAATGAAAACCAAAGCCAAGAGTCCTTTAGTTTTAATTCAGTCTAAACTCCCTTTGGGGTAAGTACCTCAGGAATTGGTCCATGTGGTCTAATTTTCTTCAAGTAAAGTGTTTGACCTCCAAGTTTAATGACCTTCAGAAAACTCCATTCTTCTACTATTTTTTTTAGTATTGAATATTTAATGTCTTTAAATATTATAAACTGTGTTACAACAGGCACTTAGAAGCCAATCAATAAATAATCAAGTCATTGCACTCTCCAGAGTGTAAGAAACTCTTTCCTTATTCACCAAGCTTTCAGCTGAGTGGTAGTTTGCATAGCATTTCCTTGGAGACATCCACCAGTAAAAATTGTTGACTTCTGCTGTATTTGCAGAATTATTTTTTCCTAATAGATATAAAATATCTTGCCTCCTATTCTGCTGTAAGTCATCTCTTACTCTTTTGCGCTCAGTTAGCCTTTTTCATTAGCAATTAAGAGTTCTCAAGAAATAGGGGCAAGGAAGAATTAGATTTAAATGGGAAAGGAGGGAAAAAAGATTACTATACTGAGTACAGACAAGAGAAGAAACACAATGATATGGATTATATGATAGCTCACTTCTGATGTATATTTTATAAACATAGAATACCACAAATGTTCTTATGAGCCTGTTTTGCCAGGTACACAAATAGTGTCCAAGGTGCCATACTTCAGCGTTAAGTCATTAGTTATAATGTAAAAGGTGATATTTGGATTCAAGTAGCTTGAGATACTTTCAGATAAAATTATGTTGTCTATGACTGAACTGTAAAACTAAATATAAACATTTTAAATTACTCTTCATTTCCTCTAATATTCATAACTAATTCAGATGTTGATAGCACAGCATTTCAAGCCAATCTGACTGTTTTCTTGATCTCTCTCCTTCTTTGCACTAGCTTCAGTGCTAACTTGATCCTTTGCCTTGACATTTAAATGTGCTCAACAGACAGAAAGCTCTCCGCGTTTCTTTTGGGTTAGCTTTCAGCCAGGTAGGTGCACTGAAATGCCTCAGTGAAGAGACTGCTGGATATCAGCTCCAAGCAGAGGAAAGGACCATACTGTGAAGCACTGGTGAAGGCAATATCATGTCAGCTAGAAGTCACTTTGATTTAGGCTGCTGAAGGATTGCCAAGTTCAGTGCTAAATTTTGTGACCTCTATTTGAAGCAATATTTTAGCCAAGTATACCTGAAATTTTAAGCTCCAGTGGATAGGAACTACCTTATGATGTAAATCTGTACGGGGCCTATTTATGCTTCAGTAGAGACTTCAGTTTGGTCACATTTTTTTAAGATAAGCAGAAGGTGCCAATCTGAAGTGAAAATGATCTGAAAATGAAGTGCAAAGGTTCATTGTTTAAAGGAAAGCCATTTTGCATGGAAAGTATCAGAAGCAGAAGTTACTTGTTCTCTACCAAAGAAGATGTAAACAATTTTAGCCGCACAAGAAATAAAAATGAAAAGATTAGAATTTGAGGACCCAGAACAACATTTTATTAACTTAGTTATAATGAAAAGCAGGGATTCAAAAGGAAATGCTGTTGCTTGCTTTATTTCTGGTAGGTTTTCTTCCTTTATTAAAAAGCGAAAATCAAACAAAAAAGAGTGCTGACAGGTTTAGAAGATAATGGAAGATAACTGGACCTTGAATTTTTTCCTTATCTTTAACTCTGGCGTGAGGATGTTAAAACAACTGCCATTGCTAGTTTCTATAATAAGTCGAAGTTGCCAAGCATTGAAAATTCAACCTGCGGTGATACAGAAGGCCCACATTTCAGTTCCTAAATACAACAGCACAACTCTAATATCTATCTTTACCTACCGGACACTTAGATGTTACTTCTGAGGCTTTCTTAGTAAATGGTCCTAGAAATATATTCATCAGTGCAGAAAACTCCTTCTGTCACAATGAGCATATTTTTGCTTTTAGTTGCTAGATTTTAGGAGCCAACGACAAACCCTTTAAAACAACCTTTCCTGTTTTTAAAAATTAGTAGCTAATGGTACTAAAAAAAAAAAAAAGTAGAGGATGGTACTAAGAACAACGTTTGCTCTGACACTAAAGATAAAGCCCTTCCCTCCAAAATCCAGGACAGTTTATATGAACAGCATACCCTTGGCAATGTAATAAAATAGCTAGCTATCTGTTATGCTGCTTGGAAGAGGTCAGGTTGTACAGTAACCTCATTCCATCACAGTTGGATGGAATCAATTAAAATTAAATTAAACAATTAAAATCTATTAAATCAGTTGCCAGGTGTGCTAAATGATTTCATAACTAGCTTGAAAATAGTAGTTATTTGGAAACCTTAATCATGTTTTCTAAATTATGCATGCAGTTGTAGCTTTTCATTCTATCAGAAGAGGGCTACTTAAAATTTTTAAAACTAATTTCATTTAACATGTTTTTCAAAAATTCAAACTGAGTTTAGATAAATGAAGAGAAAATAAAGCAATCTTTTTATAGTGATTCAGAGGTAACATGCATACTTAGGATCCACAAAAATGACTATTTTCCTAAGAAGAATTCATGAAAAGGTGAGATTAAAATGACCAAATACAAAACCTGAATAAAAAGAATACAGCCACTTCTTCAGACAACCTCGGAAAGTTTCCTTGGGAGTTTCATAGCTGATGCCTCTTTTAGCCCTCAACCCAATCAATATTATTCCTGGTAGAGAGAAAAATTACTTAATAATTTTTTGAAAAATGACTTCAGGTTAAGAGGTAATTCCAGTGGTACGTGGGAGTTCTTGCCTTTAGGAAAAGTTGTTAAAACCTCATCATTTTATTAGGCAGTTGGGATGAGAGTTGGGATAAGTTGGCAGTTGATGGAGTTGGGATGAGATGACTAATGATTTATAGGGCAAGGAGGGATAGGTAATGTCTTGCCTATGAAGTTGCAGTGCAGTTCGTGGAGGAGCTGTTTTTATTGTCTGCTATTTTAAATCATGAAGAGGTGCGTAGGCTAGTACACAGGTGTTTGGGCATGCATTTACTATTAATCGCAGTAATATAAAATTAGGATAACATCTTCTAAAGTAAACATTTTTAAAATGTCTGATTGCTTCCATAGGAACATCACTTGTAACTGTAGAAGCTTATGAACACAGATTAACAGGAGAAAGCATAAAATACAGCATCTTCGGTGACAAAGAAAACATATTTTCCATACACCCCATCACAGGTACATTCAAATATATATATATTTTTTTTCAAGTGTCTTTTGTTCCTTAAAGAGTGTGGTCTGTAAAATATAGCAAGCTCCTACCACAAGAACTAAGGGATTTTTACATTTCACTGAGTATGCACATACAAATATAACTTGTATATAATAAATTTAGATACCTTAGAGTATAAGCCTCCTCTTAAAATGAATAAATTAATAATAAAACCAGAGATGTAGAGAGACTAGCACTAGCATCAACCTGATGTGAGAAGAAATCTGTTTAAAATGCTTAGCTTTAATAAACTAGTGGTTACCAGATTTGGAGGGCTGGATAAACTATTTCTTCATGATTAAAGATGAAACTCCATCTTGTTTCTTATCACAAAGTTGCCAAAAAAACTCAATGTAAATAATCCTTCAAAACACTCCTAATGAAGGAAGCACTGGATCCTTGTTGCGTTTAATGGTTCAAACCTTTCAAGGTCTGAAAAAAGTGTTGGTTTGCTATTCTTTGAGTGGTTGTAACTTCTTCAAAAAGCATGCATCTCCTGTATCATCTGGCCCCCCCACCCCCAAAATCAAATGCAGAGGGATTTTTCTCTTTTATATCTTCGCAGCCAAGCCACAAACTGATTACAAGTGTTTATGAGACTTTTCAAAACATTTTCCTTCACAAACATTAGTGGAATTCCTGTAGCACGGGCTATCATAAATCTTCTTTTGAGATTTTTGAACCATTGTGGTCAAGTCTGCTGTTGAAATACTTGGTGTGATGGAACTGAAACTTTCTTCTCTTTCTTAGAAAGCATTAATTGAAGTGCTGCCTTTCACGACTTGTTAAGAGCAGTTCTCACCTTATCATTAATTTTGACACCAATAACTCTCTACTTACTGCTTCTGTAGCAGAAGTGTTTTGAGCTATTTTGATGTCCTTTGTATCTTAAGTATTCTTAACAGGCAAAGGTATGCTCTACTTGACTTGCTCCAGCACTGATGTTAATTTATCCTGCTTTGGAATTAATCTCCAGAATTATTTGCTGTTACCAGACCTCCACTATGCCATCTAGAAACCTTCCCCCATCCTAAGGGGATTTATTATATTGTAGAATCATAGAAAATAGAGTAGGACGTGACCCAAAGACATGAACTAGTCTGCCCTTTCCCACAGGAAGGGAGTCAGCTGTGCCTCAATATGACAGTTGTTTGTCTTTCTTGTTTCTAAAGACCTCCAATGACAGAGATTCTGTGTCCTCTCTCAGTAGTCTGCACAAGTCTTAGCAGTTTGAAGATTTTTTTCATGTTTATCTAAATGTCTCTTAAAGCAATTTAAACATACTTCTTCTTGCCCTTAATAACAGCAGACATGAAGAACAGTTTTTGCATTTCTCTTTTACCTGTTTGAAGACTGCTACCCTGGGTTTTTTTCAGTCTTTGTTTCTCTAGAGTGAACAACTCTGATTCTTTCAGTTCTTCCTCACAGGTCATATACCTCAAACTTGGTTATTTGTTCCATTCTCCTCTAGAGTCTTTCAGTTAGTTTGTGTCTTCTTGCAGTATGTTCCTAAAAGCAACCACTTAGGCCCATGACTCCTTATGCCACTGTAGATTTTGCTTTTTTTTCCATGTACAAAATGTGATAAATGTTGACTCTTGTGCTAAGACAGAGCACCTGCTAGCTTTGAAACCTTTATGCTCAAGACTCAGCTCTAGAAAACCGGACAGATCCACAAACAATAATCAATCATTACTGTTTATTTTAAAAAATAAAAACCAAAGATCAGTAGCTTGGGAATCCACATTAGATGGCTTCTTATGCTATCACAGGTTTGGGCTGTAGATATTCATGGCATCATTATCGAAAGATTCATTACAAAACTGACTTGGTGTTCTAATGAATTTGACGTGCAAATAAACTATGTTTAATGTTCAGATGTAATGAAGAATTCTGATTTATTGTTATATTACTTAGAATGGTGAAACAGTGGCCACAGATTACCAAGGAACTTTTAGGTTTAATATGGAGATATGGAGATGCTTGTACTCTAAATAGCTTTCACTAATTCTTTTCGATAGAATAACAATTTTATGGGGAAACTCAGTGTAGCACAAGGAGTCTTAGTGTTTCAGCTGTGAGTCAGTCAGATATAGAGACTGATACAGCTGTTGGCTCATTTGGATATGGATGAGGTACTTGCCTTTTACAGCCACTCTTCAGATGAGGGCCAAGAGTCTCCTCAGACACAGCTGTTTCACTGTCACACGTCAACAAACACAAGTCACACAGCCATGTCTCTTCCTCTCTATCCCTCTAGCAGTAAATTTACTTTGTTTTAGAAAATTGCCATGTGGTGGTTGATGAGGGAAAAATTAAGATGCCCTGGATTTATACAATAATAGCATGTGCAGGATGATGTTGGATAGGGGAAAGATGCAACGGGAAGCTTGTTGGAATTCTGTGACCTGTTCAATAAGGGAAATCACATTAATTAGAAATTTCATAACTTGTGTTTTTTCCTGACTACGTATGTTACATCTCAGTTTCTTTTAATAAACCAGGTGTAATCACAGTAAAAGAGCCAAAGCTTCTTGATTATGAAGTTAAGAATAAAATACATCTTTCAGTTTTGGCTGAAAATAGCTTGAATTCAGTGCTCTGTGAAGTGATGGTTTGGGTACAAGATGTGAATGACAATGTACCTAAATTTGAGCAAAGCTGTTATAAAGCATCAGTATGGGAAGGCCAGATTCCTCAAACGGACATCATGCAGGTAAGAGAAAATAGGTCTTCACAAGCTCATTTCTGTAGTTAAAAAATAAGTTTGATCTGTGGAAGTCTACAGTCCTACCAGGCCTGTTTTGGACCACACCTTTTAAATATCGAGAGTGAGGCTCTTGGTATTTCTGCTGCTTTGCTTGGGTATCTAAAATAGTTGATGATTTTGTCTAGCTCAGATTTCAAGTCTTTCATTCAGGTCTATCAAGTTGAAGAAGAATTTTTTGTCCTCTTAGTAGCTGTGCAGCTGGATTTTAAATTAAATTCATTTATTTTCTGTTTATTTCTTCAAGTAATTGAAGAATGTTATTCAAAGCTATTGTTCTGGTTACTGTGTAGGGTGGGTCTTGCATTAGAGCATCTACTGAAAATGCTGTTGCACTAAAAAGAATATTTTCAGCTTATCAGACTAGGAGTAGAAGCCTTCAGTCAAACCTAAGTGACCAATTTAAAATCTGATGCTTCAAGAGCAGCTTGTCTCAATTTAAATGTGCAAACACGTCTTCCTCTGAATGGGTCTATTCTCTGAAAGTGTTTCCAGCTGGCCAAGTCAGAGCAAAAGAAGACATCAGCTGGACTAGAAGAGCACATAATTTCCTCAATACATGTTCTTGCATTGCAAGTCAGGTCACAGTCAGGGTCATGTTAGGTACTAAAGATATTCCTCCTCTAGAGAATAAATAAATGAAAAGCTACAAATGCCCCAAGGGCAAAGCGATTAGGAACTGATGGACATTGTATTTAGAGGAACATATGTCCAGCAATGGAGAAAATCAAAAGGCAGTAAACCCAGATGTGGAGTCAAAGGTTTATGACAGAATACATTCTGTTATGTTATATTTATTGAATCTGACTAGTTGCCCCTGCTATGATTTCATTCTCATAGTTCTTATTATGCTTGTTCAGCAACCAGAAAAGATGCAAAGACGACTCTTCAAAGAGTCAGAGGAATCTTTGAGAAACTTACTCACTGCTGTTGAAAGTTATTCATTCAGTTGGTTTTATAATTTTCTTTGCACCTTCTTCATTTTTTGTTTTATATTTTAAAAAGTAATTAATGAGCTATCCCATGAAAGCTCTGAAAACCCTCATAATTAATTAATCTTATCCTTTATCTATTTGTATTGCAGTAACACTTTAAGGGTTCAGTCTGGTACAGTGCTTTTTTTATGCACTAAATAGAGGCGGGATTCTATGAGCAACCATATAGTAATAAAAGCAGTGTAAAATGATCACATTCAAGAACAATCACCCCTAATGCTTTATGAAGTTGAATTTCAAATTACTCAGTGGAAGAATTTATGTGCATACCATTTCAATTCATGAGCAGATTTTGTGACCTCATATGACACTCATGTTGGGGGCCTATATGATTGCTCACTTAAATCTGTGCAGCCCAAAGGAAAGTAACCAGATATGGATGGCTGTACTATAAGGCTTCTCCTTCTGCAATTGCATTCTGCCATTCTACATTAGGTCTCAATTTTGTTCCCAAACAGGTATTTGCAACTGACCATGACAGTGGGCTGAATGGAGAAACTGAATACTCAATTTTATCTGGAAATGAAAATGCAGCATTCCTAATTGATTCATCACGAGGGATTTTGGCAACTAATACAATGCTAAATCATGAAAACACTTCATCTTACAGGTCTGTGTACAGAGTTCTTACAAAAATATATAAAAATATACTTCTTCTTTTTGTTCACCTTAATTTGAAATAGCTCGTGTTATACATTTTATAGCTTTCATTTGGTTTCCATCACCCATAGATTCTGGGTGCAAGCCAGCCAGCATCGAAAGCAGCAACCAAGCTGCCAATTTGTATCATGGATTCTTGGATACTTCTCAAATTTAGGGGAAAAGGCATAATTTTATTGCATAAATTGCATTTATTGCGTCAATTGCACTTATTGATATAAGTGATCAAGCTGATTCATTATAGGAATGATGACATTTCCTAGATTTAGGTTTATTGAGAACTATACAGCCATTCCCTATGTAGAACCATTTTTTAATAAATATACAAAGACAGAGAGCACTCAAACCAAATGCAATAAATAGGGACATGTTCTGTTCTTCAATTAAATTTGAATATGTTTTGAATTTTCTTCTCCATAGTCTGATAAAGATTCTTCTGTAAGCTGTTTCCGTCTATAAGCTGTTTTGTACTCACTGTTAGCTTTCTCCTGTTTTCCAGGAAATTGTGAGTAAATACAAGTGGACGTGACTTTTTTTCTTTACAGCTCATGCCATAATTAGAATTAGAAAGCAAACAAATCATGCCTTGAAGACAAAGTACGAGTATGGCGTTTCGTTACCATAAGCTTTGTATATAATGCAATCTATACAAAAAGTAAATTGCTGTATATGTGTCAGTAGAAATTACGATTTTTTCCATATGGCTGTGGCATCAGTTAAAGCATTTGCAAGTTTTCCTATCCTCTGGGGCCACAAATTTTTAATTATCCAATCAGAATTCTTACGAACCAGAATAACTTTTAGAAAACCACATCAAAAGGAGGAGCAGAATATAATTTTTTAAAAATATCACTGTAATTTGATAAAGTCTCCTAAAGGAACTATTTTTTGACTTAATAACCACAGCACTTCATTTAGAGTTTATTTTTCATTTTTTCATTAAATCAAAAATATGAGTTCTAATTGTTAGTCATTTAAATAGCATAATGCATTTTATTTGGAAGTGATATTTTAAAAGATTTTTGGAATAAATCCTCCAAAGAAAGGATGTTTGTTGTTAATGAAGCACTAAACATCTTCATGTATCTGTCTTTAACTGGAAACTTGATTTAATTCAGTATTTATGTTGGAATTTTAGCATTTTCAATTAACATTTTGTTAGAGGAATCTGAAGCCTCATATCCCTTCTCTTTATTAATATTTATTAATAAATCTGTATATTGCTATATTAGGTGAAAAGGGAATAGCAAAAGAACCTTTTAAATGTTTTCCTGTTTAATTTCAAAATAATACCATTGGTCCTTTCAAATTTGAAAGGAGTTGTTTATTTTATCTAAATTAAACTTTTTCATCCCCAGAAGTTCTAATTCCTTTGTAATAGGGGTTATAATAGAAGTGTTGACAGAACCTTAATTTTAATGCCTTGGCTGAGATCTTTTTATAAGAGTTTTTTCCTGAAACCTTAGAAAGTGATTATTTTTAGTAAAATATTTCCATATGGACCTTACCAGTATTCAATCTAGACAAAATACACTTTCTATATGGACTTATACATGGTCACCAATTGAATACTACTCTGTAATTCAAGTTATGTGTTCTGTTGATGTCAGAAACCACAGAGGCACCCAGAGCATAGCTTGTGTGGTTCACGAATGGCAGCAGAATTCACAGCTTGAATTACAGCTTTGGTATGCCGTATTGCAAGTGAATATGTAAAAAGTAATATTTGTTTGACACTCTGAGCAGCAACTGTGACTTAGAAGAAAAAGTACTCAAAAGATCTGCAGAAAAGACCCAGAGGATATGATGTGGCATGACAACAGTTTATGGTTTTCAAAACATTTAGTAGAGATGCCAGGCATTGAACTGTATATACTTCCATGTAGCCTGAGTTTCTCTTCTTTGACTCGCTTCCTTTTCTAGAGCACCTGTTGAGTTAGATTTAGTTTTGATTTTCAGATTCTGGCTGAAGTTACTATTTTGGAAGTCTTCATACTATCTAATTTTCATCTTCCTAGTGTCCCTTATAATCAATGCAGAGACCCAGGTTCTTTCAAAGGACAGTTCAGTACGTAAGTTAATTCCCACTCTGAACTGCCTCCTGGAGAAAAGTGCCTATTTGAAAGAACCTTGCTAGCTCATTTAAACACCTCTGCTTGATATGAAGTTGGCTGATATGAATACTTAGGAGTTCAGTATGTTTTTGCTACAGAATCTCCTGGATGTTGTTCCTGCAAGACATCAAAGAATAAAATCTCTGGCAGCCACCCTTATAGAAATAAAGATGCAAATTTAGGAGGAGCGATGCAGAGAAGAAAGGACTAACCTCTTCATTTGTAATTTTTCCCCCATTTATATCTTTGGTCAATAATTTTGTGATTCCTGACAGATGGTGACAATTACATCTTCCTTCCAATTGTAGGTTGGTTATACAAGCTGCTGATAAAGGAAATCCCAGACTTTCTGCTACAAGTATTGTGAGGATACAAGTGGTGGACATTAATGACAATGCTCCAGTTGTCCCACCACTAGGCAAAGTGGAGGTTCCAGAAAGTAAGTGTGATTGTACAGTTAAGCGTTCCTGGGACTAGATTTGTCAGACCACAGTACTGCTTTTGGTGATTAATGCAATCAAGAGGTTATAGTAGAAAGAATAATTAAGGATAGGAAAGGGTAGGGTAGGAAAGGATATTAATTTTGGAATACTGAAGTAAATTATGATCTGCTTTTGTTCTCAGAGGCATTATTCTTGTTCTTAAATATGAGGTCTAAAGACTAGTTTGGAACAAAACCACAGGCAATTCAGAAAGAGAAAACCAAACTCCACAGAAATACATCTGTAATCTGTTCATTTTGGACTCCAATGGCAGATTCTTCAGATGTCTTCAATTTCTTTCATTTCTGCAATAAAAATACCTACTGTTAAATCCAGCACTGTTAGAAATGAAACATTTTGAACTTCATTATGATGAAGGAAATTATTTCTTTCTCTAAGTTTGAATGAAGCTTTAAAATGCTTTATAGCTCAAACTGGTTGATGATTATGAAGTGGACGACCAGGACCTCCTGAGTTCTCCTCCCAGTGTGATACCTGGTATATTGTGTGACCTTAGCTCAGCATTTGCAGACCTTGAGTCTTAAGCCTAGAATTTCCAAATACAGGCATTTCGTATTTGATGCATTAAGGTTCACTGCACAACATATATAAAGGTTTAAGTGCGGAAAGTCCAGTACTCCTATTAACAGAAGGTATCAAGAATGTTTTTGCTGTGATTTTTTTTTTTTTTTAGCCTTTTCTAAATTTAGCTCCCCACAGGTAGTGACAAGAGATTGAGTGGGAGTCATGGATGCAGAACAACTCTAAAACTACTGGCTAATTACTTAGGGTTTTGTATTCAGGCTAAGTACATTTGCTTTAGGACATGGCTGTACAGCACAACGTGTTTGAGGCTTTAAGCCCCAAACATCCAAGTGAGAACTAGTTTAGTTTCTGGTAGCTCCAGCCTTTGTTATATGTTCACTGACAGAGGCAGGTTTAGTCTGCAATCTCTGGTACTGTCATTTTGCCACATGACAAAGGCTGTCTGTATCCAATTTCTCAATCTCACAGGAGTATGCTTTATATCTTTAAGATTTTGTGCCAAGTATTAGGTCTGGCTGGATGTATCATTTCTAATGGCCTTTTCCTTGTTTCGAGAGGCTTCAGAATTGCTGGCCCTGCTTCCGCAAAGACCAGGGGATTCTAACGTTTCAGTTAAATATTCTTGTGGAAGTTTGTGACACTTTTCAATAAATCTGTGTTACCTAAATGCAGAAGGAGTTTCCTGTTGCTAATGAAGAGACAGCCAGGGGTACATTGGAACTGTGAAAATCTAAAGAAAATTCACACTGAAATCAGAATGAAGCAGGTGTATTTGAAGAAGTTCACTGCTTTTTTCATAGCATGTCTGGATCTTGCTTTTATTCTAAAACATGAAGCCAAAATACACTAAAAGCTAGTATAGAAAGATTGCATATATCTAAATTTTAGTATTTACAAAATTGATAAAATCTTCAAAAATCGTAACATCGTTTTTAGCTGTGACTTATTTTGAAAATTATTGTTTCAGATGCCCTGCCTGGTTTTACAGTGACTCAGGTGTCAGCAACAGATGCGGACTCAAGGCCAGCACTTCAGTTTAGTTTTACTGAGGGTAGTCGTCCTGGAATGAAATTTGCTATTGATCAACATACTGGTGTAATCACAGTGGTGGAACCATTAGATTTTGAAGAAACTGCTGTGTATAAGTTGGGAATCATAGTTTCAGATTCTGTGCATCAAACAGAAGCAGAACTCACTATCCTTATTTTGGATGTCAACGATAACCCGCCAGTGTTTACTCAGGATTCATATCAGGTAGGAATGTGGCAAACAGACAACAAATGTGTGTGATGTCTTTCTGTATATTATGATAAATAGCAGGAGTGCATGTATATATTTACGTCTTAAAAATGCATTTATCACCACGGAGAGGGAAGGTCTCTGCATGCTATTAGCACATGAGCAGTAACGGTGCAAGTTCCCCAAACTGCTCCCCAAAAAATCTGAGTCCTTTCCTAGGAGTTCTGCTGATAGGATTGAGGGAATTGTTCAGTTTTCATGCTCATGTTTTCTGCCTTCAGAAGGAAGCTGGTATGAATTCTGGCTGTACTCCTTACACAAGGCATTCATCAGTAGGAGTTATTGGATATAATACAAAACCAGTTTGGAAAGCAGGCTCTAGAGTCTGCAGCTTCCTTCTTCTGAGCAAATAGTGCACAAGTTGATACATTTATTCTGGGCCTATTATTATGGCTTGTGCTTCTTCACAAAGGCCCCTGTAGCAGGTGATGCATGTATAGTTTGTGACATGTAACCTTGCCTTATAGCAACAGCACTCTTCTAGGAGGTGAGGGATATGAATGTCCACGTACCCAACATCTACTAGACTGAGGAGCTCACAGAGTGCAGCTTTTGCATTTCTGAACAAAGGTTTTAGCTGCTAGGCCGTTGTAGAAGTCAAGTTGTGCAGCAATGTTTTTGCAACTGATTTAGCAACTAAGGGCCACTAAGACGATTAAAGGAACTGGAACGTATGTCATATGAGGCTCCCAAGAATAGAGGTAGGCTGCCAAAAGAGTTTTACCCTGAGGGCTTGGGCTAAGGCTCAGCACACGCAGAGACCTAGGTCTAGGGTTAGGGCTGGAAGACAGACTAAGCCTAGAGCTGCAGTTGGAGAGGGGCTGCAGAGGGGGTGCCGAAGGAAAGGTGAGTTTTCCAAAAGAATTGTCCTCTGAGGACTTGTTCATGTGGGCTAGGCTGTGGGGCTTGAGCCAAGGCTGATGTCCAAGAGAATTTAGAGCATGGGTTGCTTAGCCTGGAGAGTAGAGGAAGAGGCTCGAGGGGATCTGATCAATGCCTGTAAATACCTGATGGGAGGCAGTATGGGCTTTTCTCTGTGGTGCCCAGTGAAAGGACAAGAGGTAGTGGGCACAAACCGAAACCTAGAAAATTCCATTTAAACAAAATAAAAAAAATTTTACTTTAAGAGTGATTGAACACTTGAATAGGTTGCTCTGAGAGGATGTGGAGTCTCCTTCCTTGGAAATATTCAAAACCTGACTGGACATGGCCCAGAGCAACCTGCTGTAGCTGACCCTGCTTTGAGAAGGGGGGTTGGAGCAGGTGATTTCCAGAGGTGCCCTCCTACCTCAGTGATTCTGCGATTCTGTGAACAGAGCTATGTGCTTGCCTGGGTGCTTTTTGTGTGTGTTGGAAGTGCTCAGAGCCTCAAATATAAGACGCCACAGAAGACATGGATTTAGCAATGCTTCCTTTATAAATCTCAGACAGATTTAGTTAAGAAGTAAGTCTAAACATTCCTGTTAGTATAGATAAATTGCTGCCACTGAGCATGTGCAGGAGCAAGAGTGTAGTCACTTAGATAACTATGGGACAGACTGTATGCACCTGTGAAAATTTCAGGTGCCTGAGTTGGCAGGATTTGTGTGAATCACCCACTTAGACTCGTAAGTCTAAATTCCATAAAAAATGCACTTTAAATGCTCAAGTGTTTCTTTAGACTTGGCCTTAAGTTTTTCTCAACCCTCATATATGTCTGATTTTGGAGAACAGTTTAGGTAAGTATTTGCTCATGCAAGCGTTAGGAATTTTTTGTGTAGATTGAAGCAGACCTTACAGACAGGATTATTAACTGACATAAATGAGTGTAGTTCTGTTGACTATGCTAATGTAAACCAGCTGAGCTTCTGGTTCTGCAATCCTGATTTTTCTCTTAATGGTATGTAAAATTCCCTATTCATAACCCTGTAATTTTTACCCTTTTAGTACCCTTTCACAGGTTTTCATATTTAGACTATATATGGATATATATACATATAATCTATGTGGTAAAATGATATAAACTAACACTTGAAGTTATGACAGAGAGAGCTGCTGTGTCATTAACATTTGAAATTTGATTTATAAGGTGGGAAGAAATTTTGGTCACAGAAATACTTTATCTGGACTTCAAATAATGGAAGGTCTGAAGAAAGGAAAGGACTTTCTTGATTTCCTAAATTACAGGAAGAAGAAAGGGAGCATTCCGAAAAACTAAATTATAGCAATAATCTAGGGAATATTAAGTACTCTGGTGCTGGGATTTTCAGGGGGTATATGTTTTTTAAGGTTCGATCAGATACTCCAGAATGGAGCTGCAGAGTGTATTCCATGTACTGAAATCAAGATGTTTCTGAAACATGGAGGAAAGCTAGTTACAGTTCCAGTGCACTGCGAAATATTCCTTCCGTTAATATTTTATTAAAAAGAGACATTCAGAGATTCATTGAGCTTGTTGTCATAATGAAACCTGAACTAGATGGATTTTAATATTGTTTAAAGTTCACTCTAAATTTTGGCCCTATTGTGCACATTCCTTTGAATATCTTAGCTCTTTATAGTTTTGTCCACTGAAGAAAACGAGTAGGTCAAAATTTTTTCAAAGCTGGGAACTGTATTTTTTTTCTAGTCAAATCAAATGAAAGAAAATACTTCTGTTATGGTCAAAATCTTTTATCAAGCTTTATCAAAACTGTCATTTTGCTTTACACTTCAGGTGAGCTTGCCAGAGCTCATTTCTGTGGATGCCGCTGTTCTGACACTCTCTGCTGTGGATAGGGATTCAGAGCATAATGGGATGATTTCCTACAGAATGCTTTCCTCCTGTGAGGGATTTTCCATTGATCATAAGAATGGTGAGTCTGTTAACGTGGTTTATTATTTCAGCTCGTACAGTGTAAACTGGAAGATTCATATTCCGCTTCCTAAGCTGTTGCCAGTGATCACCTGAGTTCTGAAATCTTTGGACTTAAATAGGCCATATCTTATGGCTGAGTATGCCATTATCCCTGAGGAGCTGATAGCATCAGACCGGAGTTCTCAGTTATCTCAGTTATCCCTGAGCTGCGTACAAAGCTAGTCACAACATTGTATAGATGGTATTCCTCTGACATGATTTAATAGAAGTGTTGCTGTAAGTATTGCATTAAGTTTTGTGAAATTTCAGCTCAGGCATTAGATTTCATGGAATTTAAGTTCATACCTACTACTTTTCAGTACAAGTTGAAGCTATCATAATAGAGCTTCTCTACAGCTTGGGCTGTATGTTTTTAAGATTTGTGCTTTGAGGAACTTGCATTATCCAGTAACCCTAAATGGAATTTAAAAGTTTTCTAAATTGAGAACGCTCTCCCCAAAGTACATAATTTTCTTTAATAATTAAGAGATTTACAGATTTAAAAGTTCTGGCCTATTGTTGTAATATTCTGGGAGGTGGAAAACTGTGTGTGTGTGTGTCTCTTGCTCTCCCTCTCTGTGTGTGTGTATGTATGTATACATATGATTTTTTGGTTATGCCGGTTTCAGAGGTTGATATTGCAGAAATGTGCAACTGTTATTCAGTTTGAGCAAGTTCATGTCACTTATTTGCTGTTCCCAAGCATTCATGTGAGATGAATTTTTGAATGCAACGTTTGTTGGATGAAGGTAATGAAGGTAACCGCAAACACTGAATATATAAATGTTTCACCCAATTAAAGATGTTTTATTTTTTACCCATTTGTTACTCTGTGTTCACCAACCTGTCTTTATCTTTGACTAGTGGTTGTTTTTAATTATGATCAGAAAATGGTCACACACCATTGTCCCTGCAGCGTTTAGCTATATACCACGAGCAATAAAGTGGAAGTAAATGGTTTATGAACTTGTTTAGATAAGCAAGTTGAATGAAACATGGCTACCCAACTTATTGGCAAACCTATCTAAGTAACAAACATGCCTATAATGCTGTTACTGGATAGTAAGACAGGAAAACTAATAGCATGCAGTAATGAACTTGAGGAGAATAGCTGCCTCTAATAATGAGCCTATATTTCTTTAGCCCTGTTTTGCTTCTTATTTTCTGCAGTTTACATGCTCAACTTATTAAGAAGAGGAGACATTTTTGCTGGTCTAAATACAGTATGTGTTTTTGTACAGTACAGTATGTGTACTGTATCACTGTGGGTGGGCCTTGGCTTTGTAGAATTAACTATGGTTTCTTAAAGTTATTTTTGTATGTATGCAACCATTGCATTTGAGTCATTTTCAAATACGACTGATTGGATTCAGCTCTTGGAATCACGTTTATTTGCCTTGGTGAGTGTGGGTTTTTATTGATTGTATTTTATTTTCAGGTTCAGTATTCATTACTAAACCGGTGATACACCTGGGAAAAAATTCCATTATTCAACTCCTTATAGAAGCTAAGGACGGTGGAAATCCTGCTTTAAGTGCAGTTACATCTGTAGAGATACAAATAGAAGATGTAAATAATTATGCCCCTAAGTTCACAAGGGCATTGTACAATCTCAGCGTGAGTGAGGATGCCTCAGTTGGAGAAAGTGTCCTCGCGTTTTCAGCCATTGACTATGACTGGACACATGAAAATACATATATTGAGTACTCTATTATTGATGGCAATGCTGATAGTCTATTCTCTGTGGAGACAAGTCTCATGGAGTCAGAAACATCTTACAAGCTTGTTGGCCATCTTGTTTTGAGCAATCCTCTTGACAGGGAAACTGCTTCTTCCCACTATTTGGTCCTCCTTGCGTGTGATCATGGAACACCTTCCTTAAATTCAACTGCTACTGTACTAATAACTGTACTGGATGTGAATGATAATCCACCAGTATTTAACAACCTGGAGTATCATATTCATGTCAAAGAAAGTGTTCCCATAGGTAGTCCTATCACTGAAGTTTCAGCAAATGACTGTGATGCAGGAGCTAATGCAGAGATCACTTATGCTATCATCTCTGGAAATGACAAGGGGTATTTTCGCTTGCATGGGAAAACTGGATCAGTGGATCTGATGAAAACTCTGGATTATGAAGACACTGTGAAATTCACTTTGACTATCCAAGCCACAGATGGAGGAGCTGAGGTAAAAAATGTGGCTTTTGCTGTTCTTCTTGTTAGTGTCCTAGATGACAATGACTATGCACCACTGTTTTTGTTTCCTAGCCTGAACTGCATTGTCAGTGAAAATCTGCCTACCTTTTCTTTTGTGTGCACTGTTAACGCACTGGATTTTGATAAAGGCTCCTATGGACATATTACCTATTCCATCCAGTCTTCATGTTTGGCTCATCGTGACGCTCCTAGAGACCATGACATGTTTTTCATCGACCCTTTGACAGGAGATATTCATACAAAGCAAATGTTTGACTATGAAAGTCAGAATAAATACTGTCTCATAATCCAAGCCAAAGACAAAGGTGACTCGTTGGCTACAGTTACAGTGCAGGTAGATATTGAGGGCAGAGATGAATTTGACCCCGTTTTTACCCAAGGTCAGTATTTCTTTAATCTCCCTGAGAAAAACGAAGCAGGTCAGTTACTTGGCCAGGTGACAGCATCAGATAATGATGGTGGACTGGATGGAGTTGTTCATTACTCCCTGATAAAATCTTTCCCATTCTTTTCTGTAAATCAAACCAGTGGTAATATTTACTTGACTCAAGCTGTTCATACAAAGAAAAATGGCAGCAGAAGAAAAGATGACACCCTGGAGTTGTTAGTAAGAGCTCATAGTCCAAAAATTGACTCAAAATTCACTGTGTGCACTGTTTTCGTAAATGTTTCTAGTTCTCCTGAGAATTATCCAAAAGGGTCTACATACAGCCTGATTGTTAGCCTCTCTGTCTCCTTTATAGCATTCCTATTGCTTGCTATCAGTCTTATGGCACTTATTCTGAGATATAAGCGAAAAGACATGATGAACCCTTGCATGAAAAAAGAAGCGGCATCCTCGTCAACTACGGATTTAAGTTTGGCCAGTGCAGATAAAGTCCCTAAGGACTGCCAGAAAATCCAGAGTACCGAGAGCAGTAGGCTTCCCATGGGTGCCATAGCAGAATGGCTGAGCTTAGTAGGAGTCAGAGAGGAGGAGGATGCTGGTAACCCCTGCAGGCGTTCAGATTCCAGTGGCCATGGTTCAGCCGAAGGGGAAACTGCAGAGGATGAGGAAATCAAAAGGATCAATGAACATCCTTGCAGAAAGAGCTCTGGTTCAGCTTTAAGTGAGCGAGGCTCGCGGATGCCAGATTCAGGAATTCCAAGAGAGTCTGATCAGCTATCCTGTCAATCCGGAGAAACCGATGTTGTGGCTACCACTCAAAGCATGGAGAGCATGCAGGCCGTTAAAGATGAAGGTGGAGAAGAAGCCTGTGACACAGCCTGTGCACATAACAAAATGTTATCTCAAACGCTTGAGAAAATTCAAATCAAAGAGAAAGACATAATGACAGACTTCACAAGAGAATATATCCTGATCTCAGATATGCAGGACTCCCAGTGTGATTCACTTGCAAGTCTTGTCGCCTCTGATGAGGATCTCAGAGGGCGCTGTAACTGGGATCATTTGCTGAATTGGGAACCCAGATTTCAACCTCTTGCATCAGTGTTTAGTGATATTGCAAAACTGAAGGATGAAAGTGTACACATTCATAGCTTACCGAAGGAGAAAAAATCTTTTATTTTCCCTCCGCCCTTGATAACCTCAGTAGCTCAACCTGGCATAAGGACAGTGCCACCACGAATGCCAAATATAACTTCAGGACAAGCATTTAAAAGATATCCTCGTTCTCCCCTTATTCATAACCTTGGATACCCTCCACCAACCATGACTCCCAGTTTTTCTCCTTCTCTGTCTTTACTCACCATGCAAACTCCTACCACTTCTCCAGTAATGTCTGATGGGAGAATAATAGGAACATGTCTCATTGATCCAAGCCATGAACTTGCAAGAGAGGAAGAAATTCAGGTCTAGATTATTAACTGCTGGGAGCTTGTGGAAAAACATATGGCTTAAAATGTATTTTGTTACTGTTTAACATGCAAAACATGCCTGTCAGAACTGTATCACCAGTATTCTTTCTATTTTTATGAGCTGAAAAAGTTATTGGATAACATAGCCACAAGCTTTCTAACTACTTATCTTCTTCACAGAATGCACTGCAAGCCCATAAGGCTTTTCCTTCCTCAAAAGTTTCTAATGTACATCATACCGCCGGGTGCTTGATAATCAACTTGACAGATATTTTTTTTTTTCATAACGCGTATCAATAACAATTTAATGAGAGTAACTCTGTACTGTGGAAAAAATCAGCATTAGCAT